AAGAATGAGGGAATAGAAACATATATCCCTTATTAATACATTTATGGTTTAGGTCTGCATAGGAACATTTTAAATATTTAGATTATATATGCTGAATGAATTTGTAGACAAACATATAGTTCTGCATAGCGGATGCTGTTTCTGCAAACATATGTTATTAAAATATATTTAAATAACATAGAAATCAGAATATATACTTATTTCCTTTTTTTTGGGGGGGGGAGGGGGGGGGGAAGGGGTGGTGAGAAATACTTTCCAGAGCTTTAAAACCCTAAATACACATTATACTATAGCAAGACACCTTATATAATGTGAATTCATGCATGTTGCCTTATGAGACTCACTAAGTGACAGATTGTGGAAGTGCTTTACATTTTGAGGATTCCATTCAATATTTGGAAGTTATTACTGCAAGGGGTGAATTCATGTTTTAAAGCTAAATATGTGGATACTGTAAGTTGTAAACTGTCACCAAATCCAGAAATACTACACAAATATATATATTTGTTGATATCAGGCACCCCAGGTATTTAACTAGAGCGAGAAGTTTGCCACTTTTCACTTGGATATTTTATCATCAACATTTGCCAAAACTGCTTATGAGTATTTAGTATGTACAGCAATATCTCACGTTGAAATATGTGCCGGATTTTTGATATGTTAAGGACACGGAGGCGAGTATTATGCTTTATCTGTTTCTTTATTCTTTAGCAGCAAAAAAAGGATATTGAAATATTCAAAGAAAAAAACACATAACATGTACCCAATGGGTTAAATACACTATAAACCACTATAAACATTTTATCCAGTGATAATGCTACTTGCACCATAATGTCCCATGTGACCCTAAGCCACTCCTCTTTCTTGATGATGCCGACGAATATCCCATCAAAACAGAACCGTAGACTTAATCAACTGTGGAGAATAAACTGTGCTCCTGAAAAATGGAACCGTAGAACTTGAAGGAACTGTAGAGAAATGTATAGATGTAGGATACTAATCATGAGGCTGGAAGAAACAGAGAAACACGTGGTAAAATATGACCTTGAACTGTATTCATATATATATATATATATATCTATACACATCCACCATTTTTTGACTAACATCTGTCGTTTCAACATAATCCCAAATTAGGGTAAACAAACGTTCTCAACAGTGTCATGAAGTTATATGCCCATTAATGATTCAGGGTGGCCACAACTTACCTTGTCTGGGTGGGATAATGCTTGCCTCCGTGTCCTTAATAAAATCATGACTTTACGTCATGAAATTACTCAAATCTGGTAATTTTATTAAAGGACACGGAGGCTCATATTATGCTAGTTCAAAGCTGTGTTACCACCGTAGAAGAAAAGAGTTGGACGAAAATAGAACTCCCAAAACGTAGATTCTCTGGACCAATCAGCAGCATGTAGGAGATTCTCCAGTCTACATCCCAATGAAAAGGATGCCATAGCACCTCTAACTGAGTGTGCTCCGTACGTGGACTTGTCAATGCCAGCTGACATCATAATTCATCTAACCCATCTAGACATTGTAACTGTGAAAACAGGTCGATGTGGAAGTTGAAGAGCTATAAATAATTCCGAGTACGAATTGTCCCTTACTGAGGATGTCCTGTCTTCATATTCCTTCAGGCAATCCACCGGACATAGGTTGACATTATGCGGGAATGCCGGATAACAAATCGAAGTAATAGATGTCTTATTATGTATGGAGATGTTAAAGGTGACGCCATCCGGAGTAAAAGAACGTGTTGTAATATCCAGTGACCGAACATCTGAGACACGTTTACAGGTAATTAAACAGAATAACATGACCAGCTTAGCCGTGAGTTGTTTGAGTGAAAGGTCTTTGTTCTGAGGCCAACTATCAAACAATCTGAGGACGATGTTAACATTCCACACCGATGAATATTTAGGACGAGGTGATCGTGCAAACATGATGCTACGAAGTATTGGACATACTAAGGGGTGTTGGCCTGCTGGGGATCAATTCCAACCTTGGTGGCTTGCCAATGTAGCCGATCTATAGAGATTCACCGTACGGTATGCCAATCCACGTTCAGAAAGTTCAGTAAGGCAATTCAAAACGTGACTCACAGGTGCAGATAAGGGATCCAGTTTTCGTTCCATGCACCAACCATACCATGAGTTCCAGGCATGGAGATATGATTTCCGTGTTCTTGGAGCCCAAGCTCCTGCCAAGAGGTCCCTAGTTGCTCATGAAACTTCAGTGAGGAGATTGAATCCCCAGAGAGGAGCCAAGCCAATAGCTTGAGATGTCGTTGAAGTATAAGTGGATGACAGTTCCCGTCGAGATCTATCAAAAGGTCTGAGGATATTGGGAGTAACCTCGGGTAATCTATTGACATTTCCAGGAGTGTAGGGAACCAGGCTTGAGTCGTCCAAAACGGGGCAATGTGAATAAGTGAAGTTCGGTAACGTCTGAGATAAAGAAGTGTCCAGGCAATCAGCGAAAATGGAGGGAAAGCGTAATGGCGAGTGTTCGGCCATGATTGTAGGAAAGCATCTGATGCCAGGGCTTCCGGATCGGGTCTCCAGCTGAAAAACTGTGGTAGTTGGGCATTCAACCATGATGCAAAAGGGTCGATGTCTAGGGGTCCCCACAGTGCCTACAGGTGAAGAAATACAAAAGGATTCAGGTGCCAATCGCTGGTATCCCTCAAGTGTCTGGAATTCCAATCTGCCACCACGTTGGACATTCCCGGGATATACTCCGCTCATACCGAGATGTTGTGGTCCAGGCAGAATTGCCAGAATTCCTTCACCAGTCCCGCCAAGACTGGTGATTTTGTGCCCCAGAGGTGGTTGATGTAACGCACTGCTGTTACGTTGTCCCTCCGTAACAGGATGGAGCAGTTGGTTGATACACCTAGGAGGCTTCGCAGGGCAAACAAGCCCGCTAGCAATTTGAGGCAATTGATATGCATGGTCTCTTCTTCCATGGACCATTTCCCACCTGTGAAGGTAGGACCGCAGCGCGTGCCCCAGCCGAGCATACTTGCATCTGATGCTATTGTGAAGTCCGGGGTAGTGCCCAAGATTGCTCGTCCGTTCCACACCTCCATGTGTTGCAGCCACCACCAGAGTTCCTCTCTGGTTGGACAATCGAGAGGAACAGAGTCTGAATATTATTGACCCAGCGAAGGTGTTTGGTATTTCAGACTTTGAAGTGCCCTGTAATGGAGTGGGCCGGGGAAGATCGCTTGAATTGATGCTGAGAGGAGACCTATGATTCTGGCTAGTTGCCTCAGGGTCAGGACCGGACCGGCTACAGTTCAACGGATCTTTTTTTTTATGGACTTGACCTTGGAGAAGTGTCCCACACACGGAGTCTATGATGAACCCTAGGAATTCTATAGATTGTGAAGGTTCGGTGATTGATTTTTCCCAGTTGATGAGGAGGTCTAGGTATATTATGAGGAGAACCCCTCTGCTGCGTAGCAGCGCAACCACTGGCTTCATAAGTTTCGTGAAACACCATGGGGCTGAAGAAAGACCGAATGGAAGGCAGTTGAATCGCCACATGGTCCGTTCCCATTGGAATTGGAGATATTGTTGGCAATCCTCTGCCATTGGTATGGTGAGATAGGCATCTTGTAGGTCGAGTTTCACCATCCAGTCCCCTGAGAGGAGAAGATCTCAGAGGGAGTGTATACCTTCCATCTTGAAGTGGTGGTATGTGACAAATGCGTTCAGGTTTATGACCAGTCAAACGCCTCCCCCTTTCTTGGGGACCAGGAAGATATTGCTCAAGAAACCTGGAGTCTGAAGAGGAATTTCCCGAATTGCATCTTTGAATGCGAGGGATTGAATTTCTTGTGACACCAAGCCCCGATCGAGTGTAGAGAGCAGTATATGGTTTGGGAGAGACCACTGAACGGGGTGCTGAACAAAATCTATAGAATATCCCATTACAGTACAAACCCAGGCATCTGAGGTTAACATGAGCCAAGCATGTGCAAATCTTTTCAATCTGTCCCCCACCATAGGTATAGTAGAAACATGAATTGATCTTACCATAAGGCCATCGGCCAAACGAAGAGCCTCTGTGTCCACGCGCCTGCCAAGGTCTGCCATGAATGGGGAAGAATGGTGAAGCGGGCCTATGTTTAGGTGGTTAAAACCTGGAGTGCATGGAGCCTCAGGATCCCCGGTATGATCCCCGGGAGGAAAGGCCAGGCAGACGGCCCCAATATCTGCCGGCCCCACCAAAAACTCTCTGAGAGAACAGACGTTTCATGTTGGCTTGCGCCTTATCGAGTGCTGTGAACGTCCCTACGTATGTGCCTAACTCCTTCATGAAGTTGTCCCCAAATAAAAGCTCTTTAGCCTGTGCTCCAGGCTCTGAGATCACAAGGTTTACTAGTTTTGCGTCTATTTTCATCAGAATAGACTTGCGTTTCTCCGTGGCCGCTGCCGTATTAGGGTTACCCAGTAGGCTCACGGATCTTTGTATCCAGAGCCTAATGGCCATTAAGTCAGCGGAGGCACCTCCTGCCAATGCCGTTTCAATCATGTTGAAAATCTTGGCACTTGGTCCCAGAGCGTCCAGGATTTAGTCTTGGCAACTTTGCAGGGAGAAATTCAGGCCTTTTTTGGCCTTCCATCCCCTTTCTTCCAAGAAATTGGGCTACTTTAGGATCCACATCTGGCGTGGTACAGGCCATATCAGGCAGATTGGGACGTGGGCATTCCACCCTGAGTTTATTCCGTGCCTCTTTGTTAAGTGGTTTCCTTATACGTGTGGCAATGTATTTAGCCAGGTGATCAAAAGGGTACCACTCTGAAGAAAGTGGATGCTGTAAGCTGTCCGGATCAAAGAGTGGTTCGCCTTGAGGATCTAGAAGGGTGGAGTCATCCACCCCAGCATTGGCCTCATTGCCAGGTCCTGACAAGGGGCCGTAGTCAGGCAATTCTGTGCCATCAGACTCGCTCAGTGCGTCCTCTTGTTCCGATTAAGAGTTGGAAGATTCACTGAGGGCTTTTGCACTCTTCCAGGTCCTCACCAATTTTGCCCGGTGGGAGGGCTCTCTGGTGTGGTGTAACCACATCCTCATTGACAGGATGTACACTGTCCATCTCAACAGTTTTGGAGGACTCCTCGTCTATATGATGGGGTTTCTTAGCAGATTTACACCCACTAGGGGCTACTGGCTTACTCTCCGGGGGGTTCTGAGCCATTAGGGCAGGTGGTCTCTGGGCAGACAGTAGGACCCGAGTGATGGAGTGTGACAGGGTATCTGTCATAGTCCCCATGGCTGTGAAGATGATGTGAGACACGGACTTCACCATCGTAACATCCAGTAGCAAATGGAACTCCTCAGAGTTCATTTGCTCTTGCGACACATCCTCCAGTGTAGCCTGAGGGGGTGGTTTGGCTACCACCACAGGTGCGGAGAGTTTAGGGGCACAAGTGGAAGGAGCGCTAAAATCCTTCTGGGACTGCATGTTAATAAAATCAATAGTGATATGATATAATTATATTGAATTAATCAACTCAACCAAGCGTCAAATTCAGGGAGCATTGGATTGGATTTCCATGGGAAAGCATTGGATTGGCTAAAAATCTGCAATTCTGATGTCACCAAGGGGGCGGAGCTAGTGGCGGCAGCTAGTGCCGGCGGACTCGCATGGCACTGGAAAAAGGGTCACTTTTTTGTGCTTTTAAGGGGGGTAAAGAGAGGGGCAAGCAATCTTAATGGTGGGTTTTGCACTATAGGGTCAGGAATACATGTTTGTGTTCCTGACTATATAGTATTCCTTTAATGAAACTCTGTTGAATCTATTCTGTATACTTGTATGTAATCATTATAACTCCAGGCAGAACTTTACAGTGAATGTGATGGGGCCTGTTTAAATATCTAGATATCTAGACCAAGATATTTGTACAGAACTCAGCTCCAATGATACTATTATTTTAAAAGGACAAAGCACTTTATGCACTTTTTAATTATCACAGGGTTATATGTTCAGGAAAGCAAGTAGATATGTTCAGGATATAAAGCATATTTAAAATATTCAGTTCAGATATACATGGCACAAGCGTGCTAATAGACTTGGAGATCCAAATCAGGCAGAATGGCAACTCTGCCAATTTCAGCCAGCCAGGTTAGACTGGATATCTGTGAAGCGCGTGACAGATGCAAGAAGGGCTTAAAGACACAGGTTAAGGCAGCAGGGCACACACATTACCATGTTCTCTTTTTCAATAACCCTGTGTCTTAACAAGAACTACTCTCACTTTAGTAGGCAGTTTGCAAATAATTTCTTATTGTGATGCATTTTTTTTTTATTATTAAAGGGGTACTCCAGACGCCTCAAGCACTTTCGCTTGCTGAAAAGGTTTATGTGTGAAGAGTGTGTCCTCTTTACTTCATTTTGCAAAAATTGCAGTTTTCAATAGAAATTTACACTTTTCTAAATGAACCTGGTTACACCCCATTGGCTTTCAAACAGACAACACGTCCTGTTACTTCCTGGTTTGTTTAGCTCAGTGGAGAAAAGCTCAGGAAGCAGGCAATAGCCCAGAGCAGCTGCCTTGCAAATACTTCTCATTGAGGTGCATTGGGATGTCTGTGATTGGACAGCCACAGAAAGTCTGGGTTTGGGAGAAGGGGAGGGTTTGCAAAGGCTTAACACAAGAGATCTGCAATTTTTGCAAGCTGATTTTAGATATATCCCAAATGAAAAAAAATGCATAACTAAATGCATGCATGTTTTCATTGTGGGTATATCTAGTAAACAGTGGGGTTTGAGCAGTGGTGTGTCCCTTTAACAGTAACTGCTACTTCAGTTGTCAGCGGTACTTGCATTTGGTTCTCTCGAATTCTTTGACTTCTTTGAGGGATCTTGTCCTTACAAGGATATTGTACATCTGCAGTGGACCAACCAATCAGATATCAGTTTTATCCATGCTGATGTAAGATGAACATACTATATAGGGCAGTGTTTACCAAACCAGTCCTCAAGACCCTCCAACAGTCCAGGTTTTGTCAGTATCTCCATTGGAATAAAACAGGGAAAAACATAAATCCTGGATTGTTGGGAGGTAATGAGGACCGGCTTGGGAACCACTGCTTTAGGGTTTTCCTAAATTAAGAGAGTTGTTTGCCTCTTTTGTTCAACCTCATTGTGCCCTTGCAATTAGCTTGATTAATGTAATGAGTTTGCAGAATACTGTATGCATATTATTTTTTATGCAAATGCTCATTATGCAAGATTGTGCAGTATTTAAAATGCCATGTGCTGCCATTTCAGCTTGGCGATGGTGCATTTCCACTAAAGTATGATAAAATATCAAAGATCAGAAGAAATGTCAGATACATTACTTCCATTATCTAGCCTTCGTATTTGCGTTAACATTTTTTACAGAGACTCTCTTTGGCCCAGCTCTCTACTGCTGACACCAAATTCAAGTTATATAGGGTGACAGCCTTGCATATTAAATCTATGCAGTGACTTGTATCTTGTGAAAATGCACCTGCTTAAATTGGATTGATATTCCTTGAATAAATATTAGAAGATATGGTTTCATTTTGCATCCCTTTCTTCTCTAGGATATCGGGCAGATAAGAGCTATCAGTAAAGGTCATCCTCAATCTCTCTACAGAAATGATCTGTCTCCGCTATGTAATAAACATTTATCCATGCTTTTATTAGCTATATTGAATCTGACAGTTCTGTTAAACCATTTCCTTTCATTTTGCTAGGTCATGATGGTTAATGCTGATAAAAAAAAAAAAATCTCATCACTGTTTTTGATCCCTGTATCATATGCCCAGATTATTTTGTGCAGGTAAGCACTAGAACGGATTTAACCATTGCACTGAAAAAAAAAAAAAGCTTTAGCTTTCAACTTGAGAATGAAACACTTCGCTTGGAGCAAAAAAATGCTTGTTCTTGTTTGATTGTTCCTAGATTGATTGTTCCTACATTAGGAAAATTGTACAATATTTTAAAAATGTGCCTATGGTTAAACAATAATTAATATTTGGAGAAACAATCAATGTAAATGGTTTGTGCTAGTTATTTTTATTTTTTGGTTACTTTTAAATATATGGCAGAGTATGAATCTTCAAAAGTAAGCTCTATTGCTTATGTACAAAGAAAAAAAATATGCAGACAAAAAAATATTCCTTATGATATTTAATTAGTGTGTCAATTTATAACAAACACACAGTGTATCAAAGATAATGATATAATTGATCATTATGTAGGAAAAGACAATGCATAATATTAAAAAATCTGAACACAAGAGTCATTTTTTCTGCTTCGTCTTTTGTCACTTTTAAGATTTCTGAGTTTCCATTCATATACCTGTACACAGAGAAAATTAGCATTGTATAGCGATATTGTACAAACTGACGAATGTGTAGTATCAAATGTAAACTAAAAAAAAAAAACATTTTGGACCAGTCTAATAATACATACTAATTCAAATTATGGCTTTCATTCTATTTACAACTGGCTTAACTGTAGAAAATGAAATCAATAAAATACTACTAATTGTTTTTAAAAAATGAATTCCAACTGAATCAAATTATCACAGACATCACAGAATTCTCCCAGAGTTTGTGCTGGATGTCTCGGGAATTGCTCAGGAATGAATTCCAAAGCATCGACCACTAATGTCAATAAATAGAATATCATGTTCAAAATGTAATACAAAGATATGAATGAAATTTTGTGAAAAAAATAAAGGGGAAAAAATTATATTTTATACAGCCACCTTATGATACAATTAACTTTTTTATATTTTAAAAAATATTTTTGAGTGGTATTGGTTTTATAGTGGGGCACCACTTAAAGGGTTATTTGGACCTCTACATGTCTTGCACATCTCTTCATTGCACAGCAGAGGATAGATAGAAATATATATATTAAGTTTTACATTTTATTAAAAAACATTTTTTTTAAAGTTCATGCATAAGACTGTAAAAAAAACATTTCCACCATGCAGCTGACACTGTCAGCTGCCTTTCACTGCCTATCCAAGCTAAATGCTTCCCTAATAGCTGAGCAACTAAGAAATGGAGAGTGAAGGTTGCATGACGCCTGGTGAAAGAAATTCAGCATTAAACCATTTGAAGAGCATTTAACACTGTAAGGTAAGACATGTGATCTCCATGCTCCATAACACATTAATTGAAATAAAGTTGGTATGGGGAAAGAGTGTTCTTTTACTTAAACTGGACTGGATGTATACATGACATAGATAAATTAGATAGACATATTGTATGACGGAAAATGGATTAGCAAGATTAGATTAGGTGGGGAAGTGAACAGAGGAGATAGTTGCATGGTAGCTAGATGACACTTACAGATGGTTTGATTACATAGACAATTCCAACAGACAGACAGATATAGATAAATAGGTAGATCGATAGTTAGATAGATAGATAGATAGATAGATAGATACACGGCTACATAGATAAATGGGTAGGTATAGTGACTGAGGCTTGCTCTTAGTCAATAATTGGTCATTGTCAAGCTAGGAATACAAAAGGTGCTTCTGCCCTATTTGTCCCCAGTCCATTAAGAGCATGCCAACAGATTTTGGAACTGGAGGATAGAATCAAGCCTTCTAGATGGTGAGGGCTCTTTGCTATGTAAAGCTTCACTACCCCTGGAAACCATATGGATGTAGACCGGACAAATGTTTAAATCTTTTCTAAGGTTTTTTTTAATTTTCAATTTCAATCATCTGCTCTAACTTATGACAAATATTAAAGCAAAGATATGCAGACTTTATAAACTGTATTTATTCAGTGGTTTCATCTTTATAAGTCCCTAGGACAGAAAGCTTTTGTAATTTGTGAACATTACTATTGGGTACCTGTATTTTTGTTCAGGTATAGATATTAGGACTATAGGTTGAGGGAATGATAAAGAATGTGAATAATTCATAGAAGCCATTTGCAACCAATGTCAACTTAAAGAAATAGATTTGATTCATATTATGTAACAGGGATTAACCCCTTAAGGACCAAACTTCTGGAATATAAGGGAATCATGGCATGTCACACATCATGTGTCCTTAAGGGGTTAAAATACTTTTTTAAATCTGTTTTTTAATTTTTTTATATAGAAAAATTCATGTTATAGAAATAAGTCAATAAAATGCTACACCTGAAAATATCAAGAATAAACTGAATGATGCTCAGGGAAGAATAAACTGAATGATGCTCAGGGAAGGTAAATTAGATGTCAATTTCATGGATTTAGGACACAGTGTTTAATCTGGAGTATTTTGCAATTGAAGAGTGTTTGTTTCCCTCTTCAAAGGCGTACTTTGTCGAGGAATACATTATCCTCCTGAGGCATGGTCTCTTAGGAGTTTCATTTCTGGGTCACTAAACTGTTACAGTTAATATAAAGTTGTCATAAAACAAGAGGATACATTCCCTTTGTTAAACTCCTGCTTTGTATACAATGGAAAATTAAAGCCT